GATGAAGATCAGATCGAATACAGAGCAAAAATATGCGAAAGTACGATTAATATCACTTTTTTTTTGTAATTATTGAATATTTTATCGCGATTTTTCGATATAGAGAAATAATTGTCTCTGTGAAAATACAACAAATCATCTCAATCATCGACCTGGCATTCACGTAATTTTATTTGCGACAAGCCAATCGACCGTGCGACGATCCACTTTTCACGGTCCTCATCCCTCCGATATTTCATAGTCATCGCCACGCTAGCGTGAAAGCATTCTTAGTTAGCTCTCTTGGTCGCTACGGCTCACGATATTGTCCGTCGCATCGACGTCGGAGGAACGAACGAACAAACGTTGCGCGGGGACGTGGTGCGACGATGTCGGCGTAGGCGACGGTCGAGCCCGAGGGGTTGAAATGCGGGAAAGTCCCTCGGGTCCCAATTACATCGACACCCGATCCCAGCATTACGGCCCGGCTAATTCGAGGGGGAGAGTCGTATATAAATCTCGGCGGGTTGATTGTGCAGTTTCAATTCCGTTTGTCGCCCGGCGACGCCGGAGATAGCGCGTCGGCAGGTCGTTACAGTTACTTTTTCACCGGAGAGATTAATTCCGCATTAGAGCCGCGCGACGCGACGCGACGCGACGCGACGCGACGCGATGCTCGTTCGATCGAGCGTGTCCCATAGCCGTAACCAGATACGATTGAACGTAATGTTTGTCATTAGAGATAACTACCACGCGCGTCGTACCGTCGAATTATCGCAAAGACGTTTTCTCCGCTACGAAATAACGCCGTGCCACATTCGTCCGTAATTTCTTTACAACTCTCCGAATGGAGATGAGCTTTGTTTTCTCCTTTTTACCCTCGCCGAGTGCCAAAGGCAAAGCGGATCGATAAACATGGCTTAGTAGCGCGACATGATTGATGAAATAACGATCTGGCGCGGAGCCTTTTCTTCGCTCGGAAAATCTCGTGGCGCGCAACTTAAGGTAGTTAACAACGCTCGCTCCTCGCAGATTGCCGCGAGAGGGATGTGGGTGGAGCGCTTGAAAGGGGTGTTCCTCTCGACGGGGCTCGCGACAAACGGTTCGGCTAATTACAGGGAGGCCGCAGCCTCCGTGTAAACCGGCGGCAAAGGCAGCTGTCGGTTCCCAGGCTACCGCGGTCCCGAAGGTTTACGCGTGTCGGAAGCTTTTTGCTTCTGCATGAAAATGTCGTCGTTCGTTAATTCGACGGCGCGATACGATACCCCGGGGCCAGAATATCCGCCAGCGGATCGGATCCAGAAGCCGCGTTTCTCTCCGTCCCGTCGTCTGTGTTTGTTATTCTTTCGTCCGTTCGCGCGTATCGTTTCAATACTAATATTAATATTAGCACAGGGGGGGTAAATACCGAGAGTGCTCGGAGTACTTGCCCAGAGTCCGCTTCCGCAAGAATCTAAACGCTAAATGCGATCTTCCGCGTTTACGTAAGCGCCAGAAGAAACGTGGGAAACGCATCTCGTAAGCGTCGATACGGCACTTCCTCGTACGGTCCGGTTACGCGGAAAAAAGAAGTTAAAACAATGACGTTTACTCCTTTCTCGAATTCCGTCAATCTTTACGTACTGCGAATAATAAACGAGCCGAGTAAATCTTTTATGTTTCCGTCGTGAAAAATTCAACATTCCACGACTGGTGTGTTCGTAATTAATTAAGCAATTAAATATGGAAATAATTTTCATCAATCTCTCGAACTATATAATTTCTCGACGACGAGCGATCGGAAACGGGTTTTATCGCGGAGGTCGTTGCTCTTTCGCGTATTATTGTTTCGAATTACAAGGCACCGTGCAGTTCACCGGCTGCGAAAGGTCATCTTATTGTTCTTCGCCGTCGACAAAGTCGCACATCCAACTGGCAATCCCCTCGCGATACGGCCGAGGAAGGAAGCCGGATTTCTCGCAACCCCTGCTAAGATAATACGACCACCCCACCTCTGCGGGAGGTCGAAGATTTCAACCTTTACCGAAATGCCAAACGGGGCTTTAAACGGGCTAATAACGTCGCCTTTCCCCTCCCCTCCCCTCGACACGCTGTCGCCGTTATCGCGTACGATTTCGATTCCGTCGCACAAATTGCCCGTAGAATTACGTGTAAAGTGGAGCCTCCTTCGACGTCGCTGACACTCGTCTCTCGTAATAACGTGTCACGACGGGCAATTGACGAAACATTTATTTCCAAGACTTCTTTAAATCGTAATTCCTAATAAGCGTTGTATAGCTTGCTTATATTTATAAACTCGTTAAACGTTTTTATTACCGGTGCTCGGGATTTACCTGGCAATCTCGAGCGAATGTGCGCGCGTGGGTTGCTGTCTTGGTATTTTAAACCCTAAGCCGGATGGCTTGGCAAGGAAGGTTCGCGCACGTGTGCATCGTGCGCCGTTCTGCGGGAAAAAGGGGTGTGCAGCAGCGAGGTACTCAATTGGAAAAACTGCCGACGGATACGCCCTCGTTAAACGCCTCGGGGTCGTCGTCGTCGTCGTCGTCGTCGTCGTCGTCGTCGTCGTCGTCGTCGTCGTCGGCGTCGTCGTCGCTGCTGGCCGGCGGACGGTAAAGGTTGACACGGTATCTCTTACAAGACGGTCATTAGTCGAATGAGAGGAGGAAGTCTTACGAAGTGCCTGCGTAAATATCTGTGGGACTGGCTGGTCATCAATCATCTTAGAATCCTGCGAGCCGCGAGCAGCTACACACGAAATTACGTATCGCCTTACGTCTCGCGACGCCACGAGACCCGCCCTGAGCGGAGAGACGAAATTACATCGGGGGCTTCTCTTAACGAACCATTATTTTTTACAAAAGAAACTTTTCCCTCTCTCTCGTTCCTTCTTGGCGTAATTCCAACGTGAAGTTAATACATCTCGGACGAAAGTATGGTGAGATATAAACAGAGAGATTTTTTTCCCGAAAAAATCATCATTTCGAATGTTTCATCAATGGTTCATGGTTATTATTAAAATATAAATCGAACGATAACGCCGGGATCGATCACATCGCGTCGCCATTTAAGTGATAACGTAATGTCGTACGCGTGCGAAACACGCGCGCAAAACGCATACATCGCTCGCACGGATAAAGTTATCGATAGGCCGCACAATGCGGGCGGACTATTTACTATATTTGCGTATATCATAGGGCGAGTAATGGTCTTGCTTGACGTTACGGTCGGAAGGACGAAGCAACGGGGGATAGAAGATGACGCGAGAGGGAGGGAGAAGGAGAGAGAGAGAGAGAGAGAGAGAGACAGGGTGGATAGGATATTCCGTGAGACTGGCTGTCATATTCATGTATTGACACCGAGCTGGTTGACTAATGGACTGCTGTTGTCACAGGCTCGTGTTACTCGCGAGGGCCTGGCCTCGCCGAGTCGTTTTTCCTGAGAATCGACTGAAACGCATTCGCGTCGCTATAGCATTCGTCTCTTGTGTTTATCGAAAATTCTCGTGCGAACAGTCTCGTGAGTCATTTTGAACCAGCAATACCGTGAGGAATCGCATAATAACAGATATGTTAATTTTAATTTTTAATCCCCTATTTAGGATAGGAAAACACATTTTGTATCACATTCATTTCACCGAGCAATATTTTAATCGCACGATTTTTCCAACGGGCGTGGTTACGCCAGTTATCAGAAAGAACTATTTCACTCGTTATTCTTGAATAGAACAGCACGTCGCGTTTCGTAAAGCCGCGAATGGCGTGGCCGTTCTTCCCGACTTTTACATATTTATCGAGCCTCGCATTGTTGTCACGTCAGACGAGAGACGTCGACATTGTCGAGCCTCGAAAATCCGCGATATTATGTCTGCAAGCAGGAACCGAAGATCCAGTTCTGATCCCGGCGTGGTATTCTCCCCCTCCTCCCCCTCCTCTCTTCGGTTTACATATTTTTATGAAGGCATTTCAAATCCGTACGCGCTTAATGCATGAAAAAAAAAAAAAATGAACAAAATAAATAAAAAATGAGTGATTAAAATTTTCGATTACAACGACAGCAATTTCACAATATAATGCACACTCTCATCTTATGTCAGCTTTTGATTTACGCGAATTCGAATTTACATGGTAGGTTACAGGTAACGCATTAATCGCGTAAATTGAGAGTTATCTGTACACCCCTCTCATCTGTCCGCTCAATATTTCATCGCGCCCAATAACACGTTCGGCTTTTGTAACAAATGGCACTCGCGAAATTTTCGTTTTCGAGCGATGCGCCCGTCCAGAATTATACGCCGCAGAATTACGAAAAAATTAATGAACAAGTGAGAAATTCTCATCGGATAGGCTCGAAGGTAAATCGAGAATAGTTCCACGGGATTGAATTGGTTGGAAGAGAAACAAGTAGTATGCAGCCATAATTATTCTATTATCTTCTGACATTTGATACGAGGTTGGCTAGACGATTTCGCGATTTTCGCTGCGACCCCTGCCCTCCTTTCGAGGGCAGACGAGAAGATGCCCGGAAGTCTTCTCGTCGTGGTCGAGGGCGAGACTTAAGATAGAATGGAAAACGTTATGGAGAACACGGGTTCGAGCAAAAGACCCCCAACATGGAATAATACGATACGCGGGAATCGATGGACGGACGAACGGGGCGAGACTTTATAGCGCGGTGCGCCTCTACGGCTTCTTGATTTATCGGCGAGTTAAACCTCGACTTCGAAAACCCGCTTGAGGCGCTCGATGCACGTCTGCGAGATTACTGCGTGTCACGGATCGCGCACGTACTCGTTGCCCGTCAATGCGTTGTTTGTCGGCCGAGCCAATTTCCAAGTTTAAGTGTGTGTGTGTGTGTGTGTGTGTATGTGGGAGGGGTGGGGAGGAGAGTGAGTGAGACAACGCGAAAGTGATTAAATGCCACCTGTAAGCCAGCCCTCTGAATTCGGGATACCGCGGGTAAAAGGAGACACGTCTCCTTCCGCTGCACCTCGCGTAGGTAAAATTGCTTGCACTTGTACTCACCTCGCACCTTCTGCTCGTCTTGTAGCTGCCGCTCCAGACTGTCCTTGACCTCCCGCTCCCGGAGAACGTCCATTTTCAGCTCGGCTGTAACAAACGCAAGATAATGGAAATTTATTTAAACGTTCTTGCACACTTCCCCGAAGCGAGCGAGAAACACTCCAGGGGCGGATGGAGGGTGATTTTCATTCAGCTCCGACTCGAGATCTCGTTTCCCCCATATCGTTAGTTTTAATTGCTCGGTTACCTAGTTCGCGCGAGAATGTTTAAGACGGCCGAGTGTCGTCTCCAGCCTCCATGAATAATTACTAGGAATGGTCTCATCTACTCGAGAAGATCTCGTCAAGGAGGACCAAGTCTCCGGTCGTAAATTCTGGAAACGCGAAGGATTTGAAGATCAGCTGGAGTCAGCGGTTAATTTAACAATAAGTCTTCACCGATCTCCTTCTCCTCCTCCTCCTCCCTTCCCCCCATACGTCGTCCGAGAGGTGCTGCGGAGAGGATATCGCATGGTTGGCTGAGTCCGTGATTAAATCCAATGGCGATGGGCAGACCAGAGCTCGCATAGTTACCTCTAATAGAATTATATTAAGACATGGAGTCTCCGTCCCCCGCCCGCCACCTCCCCGCTTCCACCTGCTTAAGCTATGTTTCTCATCCCGCATACGACTTTCCTCCTCATTCCTCTCTCTCTCTCTCTCTCTGTCTCTTCGACTCGCAGAACTCCCCCGTTCCCGTGGGAGTCACCGCGCTAAATTAGCCATTTCGAATCTCTGCTAGAGGGTCGTTAGGATGAGTCTAGAAACTCGTTGAACAGTGCTAAGAAACCCGTGCGCCACACGGTGACCAGTTTTCAATGTGACGTGCTGAGGTAAGCGTAAGCATATAAATGAGAAAATTAGAGAGCGCGCGCGCGCGAATGTGTGAATGACGGTCTCAAATCATGGAGCTTGAACCTGGAAAAATTGTAGGTGCTCCTCAAATGCTCGAGGGTCGTGAAATCATTTTTTGAGACTGGTAACAAGGTAAAAACGTTTCCAAGCTCTAACTCAAGCAAGCTAATTCGATTTAACGGAAGAAAAGTAAGGCGGCGGAAAAAGGCTCCCCTCTTCCTCCTTCCTCCGATTCGCTCGGCTCTCAAATTACATTGGTGGGCAATGAGCCACGTAGTTCGTAACACACGTCAGCTCGCCGGACAATTTGCAGATTTTTTCGCCATGCCGTTAACAAGAAATTGTATTGGAATTAAGTGGATAAAAATTGGATGTAAAAATTTCATGCGCCCGGCCCGCGTGTCAATTACAAGGAAAGAAACGCGTTCAACAACTATTCCATTTACCTGGCTCGTATTCCATTTTTCACGTGTGGCGTTTTCATACCTCATCGGGGAAGTTTAATAAAATTCGAAACAACGTTTAATCCGCTTATCAAATTTCGCAAGCTTTTAAAAGACTCTTTTGCAGGCCCGTGTATATGTTACCGTCGCATTAGCAGCAATTATTTCCCGACCCGGCCTCTCGTTGGATCCAAAAAGTTTCGCGACATACGTTCAAGCCGAAGCAACAAAGTGAGAGAAAGGGAGAAAGAGAAATAGAGAGAGAGAGAGAGAGAGACCGAACCTGACAGAGAATCAAGCCGGTAGATTAGGTAGGGCCGCGTCGTCTCAGCAGTCTGCCAGCAATTTGAGAGCGTTTGCGAGGTCCATTAACGGCGGTAACTCTTCACGACCGGCCGCCACGAAGATTCAATTTGAATGCTAACCAGAATAGGAAGTTCGCGCCGGGGCCCCATGGTATATACACCGCGCGCAGTGTTCTCCCCCTCCTCCCCCTCCTTAGCCCCGTTATCCCCTCGCCACCCTGTTATTGCCAATTTCGGCGCGTTTCTGCAGCCCACTTTGCGATCGTTTAGATTATCATCTCTCCCGGTTTCTCTTCTCTCGACGGTCCTGGATATACCTTCCATACCGCCCTGTTATCCCCCCCCCTCCCTTTCTCGTATCTTCTACATTCTGCTTTCTCCCTCCCCCCCCCCTCCCTCCCTCTCCGCCGGTCCGTTCCTCTCTCAAACGTTTCCGGGGATAATTGAACTTTATTAGAGATCGTCGTCGACGAAACACCAGCCCTTGCATCCACCCCGAGGCTTATTCCGGATCGACTTGATTCCGAGATGTGCTTTAACGATTACTCCGCTCGCTCGCTTATCTTTCTCTCACTCGCGAAAACGCCTCTCGAAATCTATACCGAGAACATTGGCTCCTGTTTCTCCGAGCGTCGCGTGCTGTGCTTCAAGGGAGGTTTCGCGTTCAAACAAAGCTAAGAAAAATCAATTCTTAATAAAAACTGTCTCTTCGCGTTTGGCGTATGTGTGTATGTGTGTGTGTGTGTGTGTGTGTGTGTGTGTGTGTGTGTGTGTGTGTGTGTGTGTATGTACATTACGACTCGCCTAAGAGCACATCTGTGTTCGATGTCGCTGCATCGTATCGTCCGAATTACTCTCCCCCCTAGAGGCAGATGCTACGCCATGTGCGAAATACCTTTTCTCAGATCTTACGTTTTTTGTTGCGGCGCAAAGCGGCGTGGGCCTCGCCGTGGAGGGACGGACTGGAAAAGTTTGTCGCTATGGAAGAAAAAAAAAAAACTGGAAATCAATTATGCGGAGCCCGGCGCTCCTTGCCACGGGGGAGGAGCGACCTTATTGAAATTTGGCTGCGGGGTCGTGAGCATTAAAATTGCAGGGATTAATGTTAGCCGCGGTGAAAAGCGCTTTACTCGCTTTCCTCGTAAGGAAATGATTCCACCGCGCCGCGCCGCGCGCCGTTCCGCTCCGCTTCGCTTCGTTCGGTTATAAAAGCCCGGGCCGTTCTATCATTCTTATGTCAATTAGACGAGCCCTAATCGCGACCCGGCTCATAAACCGAGAATTATATCTTTAATTTTACCGGCCATATTCAACCGCTTGCGAAACAGGATTCTGCCCTACGCGCTTTCTTCATCGCCGCAGGCGAAACCGCTTTAGCCACGACAGATAGATGGTAATTAATGATGAGGAACTGTCCGTCGGTCAATTTCATTATCGAGTCTGACGTACACAGGAATATACGCAGCGAAAGGATTACACGATAAATTTAACATTGTATCATATTTTTAATGTTAATTGCCGCTGAATCATTCTTCTTAAGCAAAAAGTACTTGTCAATGTCAAATGTACATATAAAAACGAATATACGAGGTGTTTTCTGTAACTCGATCATCTCGAGAGCATCAACATTTTTTTAAATTGGACAGCTTATTTTCATTAACATAATAAATTAACTAATTTAAATGTGATGTTCAAAATTATGTTATTTTATGTTCAAAATTACTTTAAGATTAACATAGTATATATGATTGCATTTGTTTTTTTTCTGTTTTTTTTTTTGTTGATAAACTACATTACTTGATTAATGAAAACGTTATCCAATTTTTAAAAAATGTTGATGATCTTGAACTCTCATAAAATAATAAGCATTAAAAAAACTTTTCCCTTTGATATTGTTTTTCATATCATTAAAAACAATAAATAGAGATATTCTAAACGATCAAGTTACCGGAAATATCGTAGATATAAAAAAAACGCGAATGAAGAGTATAATTAACATTTGCGAAATTCCAAAGTTATTTTGAGATCTTTCTTCCAATTAAATAATGTGGAACCTCTCTTGGCGCGCGCGCGCGCGCGCGCGCGCGCGCGCGCGTGTGTGTGTGTGTGTGTGTGTGTGTGTGTGTGTGTGTGCGTGTGTGTGTGTCCGCCTGATTCACACGCATCTCTCGGCCATCGTGTTCGACAGTGTTAGACGGCGGATACATTCCGAGAGTTGCGCTCATCACGATTTACGAGTTTCTCGCCGGACGGCGAACGATATCGCGAGCGGGCTCGAGCGGACCTAGGATCGTTGGCGATAATAATTTTCACGGTGGCGCGAGCACTCGCGTAGTAACAATAACGGTGCAACGGAACGTGCATGGCACTGTTACCGGAGCGATTCATGGTTATTGATTAGTATATACGGTCGCAGGAAGACGAGAGAGGCTGCGGTATAGCGTTCACAAGCCCCGAGGGCTTGTACCACGACGTGTGGTGTGCACACATGTACACGCAAACACAGATATTATGTGTATACATATAATATACACGTATACGCGCACCATCCAACGGCGGGGGTGTATGTGTATATATCTCTGCGTATAGCTGCGTACACTCGATGCTAAGATATTCGCGTAGGGGCCCTAAGGCGACCCTCAGAAACAACAATGTCAACTTGCCCAGCGCGGCCCGCAATCGTTTGAATAGTATAATGTAGTTTTCGTGTTACAACTCAACTCTCCCCTCCCCTCCCCTCCCTCGTGTACAAGTCCCGCCTACCTAGCGCCTTACGAAACATCAGCCTTCTTTTTTCGCGATCCTGCACGAAATATCTACCGTGCGGGCGAATGAAATGTCTACAAACGAGGAGACGAGGAGACCGGGGTCTCGAGGCCGCGTGCCGAGATTGGCGGGTATTTATGAATTTAATTTTAACGGATCAAGAGCGGTAATAAAGCGCGGGTAGGAATTAACCGCCGGATTATTTCAGTAATTTACAGCCTCGGGGATGGCGGGTTCGGCATTCTCTTATTTGCATCGCGATATTCACGGTACGATGAGTTTCGCGTATCCTCCGCGATTCCTCTGAAGAAAGTTCTCGCCCCCCTCCCCCTCTTCCCTCCCTCGAAAAGTTTCCCCGTGACGGAATTGTCTCTTTTCTCGCACGTATCTCAATCTTGCGCCTCGCGCTCAATCACGCGCCTCGATCGTCGTTTCGTGTTTCTCAAAGGCACCCGAAATCCGTCGCCAATCTAGAGCGGACTCGGATTTCATAAATTTCGCACCCTAATCCTCATTAATCCCGATGTTGCACTATTTGCCTACGAGAAGATCCGCCGCAAGACGCGGGCGCCGCGGGGGGGCGTCGACCCGACTGGAAACGAGAATATTGTTGTTTCTACCCTTGCATATTACAGCCGAATAACGATTAAGTATATACCCCGGCGAGTTAGTCCTGTCCT